GTAGGAAACAGGGAAATAGATCTTTTTCCAAATGGGAAGGGGACCAAGAGGTGGAGGGAAGGGGGACAGGGAGAAAGAGCTTTAAAAAGTTAAATGACTGGGGCAGAGATTTAGCTCAGTGATGCTGACACCTGCCTCAAAAGCACAAGGTACAAAAAAAAGTTAAATGGTTAAGAAATAAGATGTGCTACGTACATGTACCAACACCCCATGATGAGTGTAATCATTATGTAGTACAGCTGTGTACTAATAAAAAAAAGCATATGTGTTTTTAAAAATAAATCCTAATTTTTTTGGGTACGGGGATCAAACTCAGGACCTTGCACTTACGAGGCAGCTGGCGGAACCACTGAGCTAAATCCCCGCCCCTATTTCAAAATCTTAAACTTTCCCCTCAAAGTTGTAAAACTCCAAAGTGGCACTGAAGCACTGCTCACATGAGGCATCCTAAATCAGTATTTCTCACCTTCTCTCCTTACCTTACAAGGACTTGCTAATGAATCTTCTTCTCCAGTATGAAACATTTAGAATTCCCATCTTCCCATAGGTCATGAGTCACTGAGACCAGCACAATCAACTGGTTGGTTAGAACAAGCTCTTATATGGCCCACTCTGTTCACTGCCCTCACCCTGCCACTGCCCTGGCCAACTACCTATATTTTTATGGTAACTAGCACCATGAAAACTCCCTCACTGGTCTCTCCACCTCCAGGCAGGCTCCTCTAATTCACCTTAAAAACAAGTGCTAAATTATCAGTTGAAAATATATATGTGATCACATAAGTCTCTGCTTAAGGTCATTTGGGGGCTCCTGTCACACTTGAGAAGTGAGTCAAGGCCATCCATGATCTGATACCTGAGTATTTCCACCACTCTCTCTTACACAAGCTATGTTTCAGACACTCAGAACCTCCTCATTTATTCATTCAGCACACATCTATGCTTCAAATATTTATCCACGCTCTTTATAAACAGCAGTGAATAATGGGCCAGGGATTTAGCTCAGTGGTTCCACTACCTCGTGCCTCACAAGTGCAAGGACCCGAGTTCGATCCTTGGTACAAAAAAAAAAAAAACCCAGCAGTGAATAAGACAGCCAATGTTCCTGCCTTCATGTTATTTTCATTCTAATGGGAAAAGACCAACAACAAATTAGGCATGCAAATAGGATGTGACAGTTAAAACTGATTGCCAACTTGATGAGACTAAGAGATGCCTACAGAAGTGACTGTATTGTGAGAAAACTATTGTCAGCAATGGATTAACCCACTGATTAGTTCTTGGCTAAAGGGACTATTAGGAAGTGGGGTCTAGTCCCCTCTCTCTAGGCTTCCTGGTTCCCCTAAGATGAAAGCTTTCCTCCACCATTTCCTTCTGCCACAACATTTCTGCCTTGTATTCAGTCAACCATGGACTGAAACCTCTGAAGTTGTGAGCCAAAACTATATAAACTTCTCTTCCTATGAGTTAAATCTGAAAGATGTATGATTCAGACAGAATAGCATATGCAAAGGTGGGAACTGAGAAGAGGCAGGTTACCGGGGAGCGGGGAATGTGTATATACTCAAACACATGTGCATAACACACGCACAGGCGGTGGGGAGAGAGTGAAGGGTTAAGAACGGAGATTAGGAAGCTACTGCAGAGCTACCTGCAGTTTTCTGAACACAGCCTGCTCCTTGAAGCCACCAGTGGATCCACTGTTCCCAGAACATCATTCCTCCCCACTCCTTTCAGTAGCCAAAATTCAGAGTACAAATATTACCTCCTCCCAAGATCCCAACAGGGGATGCAGAGTCCCTCCTCTGCACTCCCACAACTCCAGTACCTAGATCTGCCACAGGACAGAATACCAGGTGGTCTCCCCAGTTAGACTGTGAGCTATTCAAAGGTGGGAATTATTTTTTTCCCTCTGAGTCCCAGTGATCAGAACATGACATGTGCATTCAGAAAACTGTTGACTGACTGGTGAGTGGAATAATTGTTTTAGGGGCCATACTACTATTCTCTCTACATCTAAACACTATTGTTGCCCCTGCTCCCTCATCTTTCCACGCAGGTGATGATCTTGCACCCTATTCCTCTAAGTAAATGGAAACAATAGGACAAGAGCTTACATACACACTCACACATACATGCCCCTACATGTTTACCTGAAACCACGTCCCTACACTCTTTCTCTTGACATGAATGAATTGTCTATGCCTCTACAGCCAACTGTACCACCTATGCATCACTCCAATCATTCCTTTTCTCTTACATCTGCATTGTTCTTTTTCTAAGGAATCATTTTCATCAGTACACCAATAACTGTAATACCCACCATTTTAAATTTTGAAAAAGCAAATTACAGAACTCACTGAAAGAGTTCAATGTACTCAGAGCTTTCATTCTGCTCCTATCCTCTCTTATTCTCACTCTGAATAAGCTTTCATTCCCTATCAAGGAAACAGGTCTCTTATCCATATCACCAAGGACCTTTCTGTTGCCAAAGCAGTTAGTTTTCAACCCTTGACAAGGTTGAACATGCCATCCTTTTTGAAACGCTTCTTTTTTTTTTCCTCCTGGGAAAAAATTTTTCTGGTCAATCTACTTCCACCAAGTTGTTACTGCAACCCAATGGCCTTTCCTTGTACCCAGAAAAGACAATCTGTGACTCAGCACCCTGTCTACTCACCAGAGCCCAGTAGTTGAGTGTGCACAGTCTCATGGAAAATAATAACTGCAGGGCCCAGAGTAGATAAGGGGACATCCAGGCCACAGCGGGCAGTGGTAGCCTTAAGCTCCTTGGTGAAGTGCTTCAGATAAGCTTCCGAGGCATCTCCAAGGAATTTGAAGAGGTCATTATGAAGTCGATCTGCATGAGTTCGATAGATGATGATGTCTGAAATGGCCAGGACCTTAAGTAGCAGCCGAGTTCTCTGGCTTAGATTCACGGTAGCCCCCAAGAGCCCTTCTGTGTCTATCACTGTTACTCTGTGGACTGGGTCATAGGCTGCCCACACACCCACTGTGCAGGACTCCTGGGCAGGGGAGGTTTTGAAGACTTCATGGCCATAAAAGAAAGTGTGGTTGAGGGTATGAGACTTTCCATCACCAGTATTTCCAAAAATGGAAACCACCTTCAGATGCTGATCGGGTTTACAGTTCAATTTCCTAATAAAGTCATCTTCATTTGTTACCTTCAAAAAAAAAGAAAAAGACAACAATGAAATACGGAAACTGCAGAACAGCTAGAAACACCTACAAAAAGATCAAGTGAGCCAGGTGTGGTGTCACATGCCTACAATCTCAACTATCAGAAGCCTGTGGCTAGTGGATCGAAAGTTCAAGGCCAGCTTTGGCAATGTAGACAGACCCTATCTCAAAAAAAAATTGGGGGGGGGGGGCACCAGGGATCAAACTCAGGACCTTGCACTTGCAAGGCAGGCAGTAGAACCACTGAGTTAAATCCCCGACCCTCAAAAGTTTTTTTTTTTAAGAAAATTTTTCTTTTAAGGGCTGGGGTTGTACCTCAGTGATAAAACTCCTGTTAGCATGTGTGAGGCCCCCCTAGGAAGGGGCGGGAGAAGGGGTGGGAAGGAGAAGGAAAATGCATGCTTCCAGGGTCAAGGTCCCTGATAAGCTCATCAAGACAGGAAGGAAAGAAGTCTCAGGATAAGAGATCCATCACCACCTCCCATCCTTAGCAAACAACTCACAAGAGTTTATAAAGCCTCAATCAGTATAAATCAGTCATAAATTCATGGTTATGAAAGAGCTAAAACTGTAAAACTTTTTGTACATCACATATTTAATAAGGGCCTTGGGTTCAGTATAAAGAACTCTTAAAACTCAACAATAAGACAATCCAATTAAAAAATAAGCAAAAATTTTGAACAGACATTTCTCCAAAGATATGCAAATGCAAAATTATGCTCACTAGTCATTAAAGAAATGGAAATCAAAACTACATGAGATATCACTTTATATCCACTAGAATGGCTATCACCAAAAAGACAATAACATGTATTGTCAAGGAAGTAAGAGAAATTGTGAGAATGTAAAATGGCACTGCCTCTCTGGAAAAGTCTGACAGAGTTGCCATAATAATTGACAGAGTTGCCATCAGTAACTCTACTCCTATGTATATACTCAACAGAATTGAAAACTATGTCCACACAAAACTTGTATGTACATTAACAGCCAAAAAGCAGACAACCCAAACGCCCATAAACTGATGAATGCATAGATACAATGTGGCATATATCCAATACACTGATTATTCAGCTATAAAAAGGAATAGTATTAGTCATTTTCCCATTGCTGGGACAAAATACCCAATACTAAACCCAAAATTAAAGGAGAGGTGGTTTATTTTGACTCAAGGTTTCAGAGGGTGCAGTCTATGCTAGGCTGCAAAAACAGTACAATGGAATAGCAAGTGGAAGAAAGCTGTTTAAGCCATAGCAGCAGAGAATAGAGACAGAAGGAAGGAGCCGGGAACAAGAGAACACCCCCCCAGGTCATAACCTAGTGACTCACCTCCTCTGACCCTCTGACTGGGCCCCACCTTCTAACAGCACATTCAGCTATGAACTCATCAATAAGTTCACTGACAAATATACAAAGTTCAATCAAAACATGGTGAATGTTTAAATTTTAAAATTTATTACAGCGAAAAATAATTACTATTAATACTCAACATATTCCCTCTTGCTTCAAACACACTTAGCCCATCATTTTTGCCACTTTCTGAAGCAGTTCTGGGAGTCCTTTTCATGAGTGTCTTAAGTTGTGCGGCCTCTCTGTCATTAAAACATCTACCTTTCATGGTCATTTTGACTTTGGGGAAAAGGGATAAGTTGAATAGTACCAGATCCCTTGAAAAGGGTGGTAAGGGTACACCATAATGTTCCTATTTGACACAAATTGCTGTCAACAGTTGATCAATGGGGGTGATTAAAACATACTCTTGAGGGCTGGGGATTTAGCTCAGTGGTTCCGCCGCCTGCCTTGCAAGCGCAAGGACCCAAGTTCGATCCCCAGTACCAAAAAATAAATAAAAGAATAAAATGTTGGGCCAGGGATTTAGCTCAGTGGTTCTGGTGCCTGCCACGCAAGCTCAACATCCCATGTTCAATCCCCAGTACCAAAAAAATAAATAAAAAATACAATGTTATTACAGTAAAGGACACATCGCCATCACCCCCACTCAAGATACTCAAAATACTTGACCAGGTTTTGAATACACTTACTCATCATTCTTGGCTATATGTCTTTTTTTTTTTTTTTTGTTTTGGTACCAGGGATCGAAGCTGGGACCTTGTGCTTACGAGGCAGGCAATGGAACCACTGAGCTAAATCCCCAGCCCAGCAATATGTCTTTTACAGTAGTGTTTTTTTTTCTTTAAACATTCACCATATCTTTTTTATTGACCCTTAGTGCCCCCATGATCCAATAACCTTCCAAAAGCCCTATGAACACAGAAGACTTCTGAGAGCCATTTGGATCTAAAATGAACCTACTTCCACCTACTACTATATACATCTGTTAGTCTCACCTTTAAGGCTTTTGAGGGTCCTTCCTGGGATTTGAACCCAGGGCCTTTTCACTGAGCTACATGTCCAGCCCTTTTATGTTATTTTGAGACAGGGTCTAAGTCCTTAAATTACCTAGGCTGGGCTCAAATTTTTAATCCTCCTGCCTCAGCCTCCTAGAGTGCTAGAAGTTCCGTTATAGATGTATGTCACCATGCCCAACCTAGGACAATTCTTTTTTTTTCCTTTTTGAGACAGGGTCTCACTTTGTAGTTCAGGATGGCCTCACACTCATGGCATTTCTCCTGAGTGCACGCACGCACCACCATGCCCAGCCTAGAGCAATTTTTAAATGTGTCCGTACTTTGACCTCATTTGTCAGGAACTCTTATTTTTGTCTTAACTGTCATGACTGTACCGCTTCCTCCTTTATAGTCTTCTTAAATCTTTGCTCACTAAACTTGGAGGAGGTTTAAAATGCTATGGCAAGACTACATATTCCTGCTGTTATAAAATAATGTGCACTGCATTGAAATAATGTCTACTGACTTAGTATTAGTTTAGTTTAGAAGTGTTCTGTGTACGTACTGAATTGTTCTGATTGTTTAGAAAACAGATGAAACTTGTATTTGGAAGGAATTGGAAAATGTACCTTGAATCATTTCAATTAATTTTTCAACAGGGAAAAACAGTTATGATTGGAGATTTTCCTTAAATTAATGATAATCTTTTAAATTTCACTTCCTAATTTTGGACTGGGGGAATGAAAAGTATGTCAATATAATCACATTTCTCTTACTTTAAAGAATTAAAATGACTTAAAGTTAAAATTATAGAATTTGTAATATTTTGTATATTTCCAAAGTATTTTATTACTAATCCAGTCCCCTAAATATGCTTATGAAGTAGATGAGTGACAGTTCTGCACGCCCACACACTCACATCGCATCCACCAATTATTAAGTACTGATGCTAAAGTGCAAATTTTTTCCTTCAGAAATAATAAAAATTTTATGCTATCTAATAACATTTTGGCAGAAATGTCAAAAAGTTTTGTGACTTGAAAATAACTATCAAATAATACTTGACACTGAGGGAAACAAGGAATGAAGTACCAATATATGCTACAACATGGATGAAGTTTGAAAATATGATTAAGTGAATGAAAGGAGAGATACAAAGGGCCACACATTGTATGATTCTATTTATATCAAGTGTTTAGAACAGGCAAATTTATAAAGCAGAAAATAGATTAGTGGTTGTCAGAAGCTGGGGGGGGCGGACAGGGCGAGGCTGCTAATGGGTACAAAATGCCTTTTTGACCAAAAATAAAGAAAAGAAAAAAAGAGAAACAAAACTCAAAATTCCCTTGTGGGGTCATGAAAATGTCCTAGCATTACACAGTGGTATGGGCTGCAGAGCTTTATAATTATACTAAAAACACTGAAGTGTACACTGTAAAGGAGTGAATATGAGCTGGAATGTAGCCCAGTAGTAGTGTTTGCTTGGTATGCACAAGGGGCCATTCCCAGCATCACAAAAAAAAAAAAAAAAAAACTGAAAAATAAGCAAAAAAGGGTAAATTTTATGGTATGTAAATTACATCAATAGTTTTTGTTTTTGAGGCAGGGTCTCACTGCATAGTTCAGGCTGGCCTTGAATTCACAGCAATCCTTCTGCCTCAGCCTCCTGAGTGCTGGGATTACAGGCGTGCACCACCACGCCCCACAATCAAGGTGGGGTTTTTTTAAGCTTATTGTTCAAACTTCATAAATTCTCCCTGTTAACATTTTTTTGTTGGTGGTGGTACCAGGGATCTAACTTGGGACCTTGTGCTTGAGAGGCAGGCCCAGGCACCAGAACTAGCGAGCTGAATACCCAGACCTCCCTGTTAACATTTAAAAGAACAGGACAGTCCTTATAAAAAGCAAGCCCAGAAAGGAAGAGATTTGGGCAAGAAAAGTAGACCTCCACACTAGACCTTCAGCAAGATGCTCAGAGCACCTACTCAAGACTACAGATAGATCCTCAAATCAAAGTTCCTAAACCATACAGGTTACATTTCCTCCAGTTAAAGGAATGATGGACCTTTTACACCAGTATCTACCTTAACGACCACCCATCAGAGAAATGTTTCTGATTCTCCAGAATCTGTGTAAGACCTGCTACAGACAGACAACTGAGGGTGAAAATATAAGAAGTCTTTGTCTTCTATAACATCATCAAGGCTCTAAACAGTCACTATTCTATTAATGATACCACTATTAATATATTATTAAGAGCTTTGCTAATTCCAATAGTTCGCTGAATGTCCACTGAAGGACAGGGCTCATCACTAGATCCATGAGCAGAGGACCAAGTCTATCTCATCTCTACATGTACACAGGACACAGCCCGGCACAAGGAGCTCAATGTCTTGCGAATGAATGAATGAATGCTAGGCAACTTGCTAGAAATGTTAATCACTTTGCCCCACTGTACATCTTCCACAGGGATGAACACAGCAACATTTCATAAATGTGGTGAGAGGTTGTTATCTAGCAGATAACTCTGAGAACAAGAAGCTACACAGAACAACTCACTGGGATCTGTGTCACTCAGCCAGCCTGCTTCCAAATTGCTAAACTGGCTAGACAAAAGAGACAAACAAGAGCTCCACAAA